GGATGCTGCTGTAATGCGACGTTGATTGCTGCGTTGATCTGCTTGGGCTAATGCCTCGGGGCTTCGCGGTGCGCATGTTAGCGACAGATGCCATAATGCTCGGCCGCCTATACTTTGCTGCGCCTCACCCAGTATGCCCATAGCCGACAGCTTTATTGTTTAGCGTCACGGGTGTCTTTTAATAAGCCAGCCGTAGTCATTCATTAGCTAGAACTAGCCTGCGATCTGCATCGATTATGGACCATAAACGCTGAAGTGAAGCTAATCTGACGCCGGACGCGGGAGAGGAGATCAAAGCTGCTGGCGGACGAGTCGACCACCCAGTCTGCATGGATCACATGCCAGCGGTGAGCGCGAACAAAACACAGCACTTAGGCTGTAGAATATCACAACGTAGGCTATTATACTTACTCTCAAAACTACCTAAACTAGGTTGATAGGATGTGCCTTGGCAGTCTCAGACTGTCGGGTCACTCATTACTGGATCCGCGAGCTGCATGATACTGGTATGATAGATTGCCCGATCGGGCAACCAGCAGGTGAGGCTTCATGGCCCGAGCTAAATACTAGATGGCCCCGGGCCATCGGGCAGTCCTTAATGTCGAGCCCTGTGAAACATTCTTGTCTGTGCTTCCCTTTTGCATCATGACACTCACAACAAATACAAAATCCATGTTAAGCCCCATTTCTGGCTTTTGGTGAAAAACTCCTTGAGAGTGACAACTTCACTGATCTCCTTCCACTACCTGAATTAGAGACACAACTCACAAAGTCGAGAGATGGCCTGACATTTAGTCATTTTCTGCCAGTTTGAAAAGGTCATCCATCCATGCTGTTTTATCAGCTCAGCATGGGCTCACTGTTTGGCTGCAGGAACAAGACAAGAGGATGAGGAGGTGAGGGAGCAAACACATAGGTATGTTTTATTGATCAAGCATAAGACGGGAGAAAGCCGGCAAACATGAGAATGAATAATGCATCAGGTGGGTGGAAAGGAAACAGAGATGTGCTGTAAGGTGAATTCGAGAGGCAACCGTGAGGCGAGAGGCAATGTTCGGGTTTGGAAAGTGTTTCTTGGCTGAGTTGTTAGTCAACCACATTTCCAGACTATTGGAGTCAACAAGGCATCTTATACTTGTGTTTGATTTGGTACACACACCTGTGAGAGGTGTGCAGCCTTTTGCATGTCTGATTTCGGGTTAATGGTTGTGTTTGTGGGAATTAAAAACTCAGTCTGAAGGGAAATTGGGGATTTTAAAGACCATTTACATGCACAAAAAACCTGTATCACACACAACAGGAAAGGAAGGACCCCCAAAACCATAATACAAGTAGGGCCACTTTAATCTAGACCAGTGTCTTTTTGACTTCTATATGTGCTCTATAAAAAAATCCAACATGTTTTAAAGGTCACATCAACCATTCAAGGCTAATTTTCACCCTCAGAATAGCTGGTTTTCCATATAATAGCTGCTGCACTTGAATAACAGTTTCAGAACCATTAGATGCTGGCACATGCACATGCAGTTTATGCTACTGTGCTGTGTAACGCTTGTGCACATTTGTTTTTGCTTCTTTAGTTGACTAGAAAAAACCTTACAGTGGGTCCATTTTGTGTTATGAGATTTTAATGAGTCTTTCCTTGCTGTCAATGAAAGCCTGGCGGCGTGATTTGTCATTTTCATTTATCGTTTTATTTTATTGTCTCATAATGCCGGCTCAGTGAAGCCTTTTGAGACTCTAACTGAATTCAAGGGCTGTACACATGAACTTGACTTATTTCTTAATAAGAACACTACAGAGCCGCATGAGCACAGAGGTGTTAAAATCCATGACCTATAACACCCCAAATCAATGTGTGAAAAGACGATGATATTTGTTTTTGTGAGGCAACTCAGTCCATCTTGGAGTTTTCAAACTTTATTGCATAATGTGGAATTTAATAGGCATCAACAATACAGATGGGGGGATATTACTGTTGCAGGTCAAAAGGTCCAGACCATCAGTCAGACTTGTCGTAATTTCTGATTGGCTGGGCGAATTGCAAACCACGACCCGTAAAACTCGCATTAGCATTATTAGCCCAGCGCACCAACGGAGAGAGACTAACTTATGGCAACACAAAAGAAAACATGGGAGCGGTGGAGTGATGAGGAGGTGTCAGCGCTTCTGGCGATTTACTCGGAAGGTTTCAGTAGAAGCTACTGGGAGTCTACCAAGTCCCCAAACTCCGGGGGGCTTCCGTCCGGGGACTTCGGGTGGCCGGCAAAGTCCCTCCCTTTCCGGTGGACCTCATGGGACCTTATTTCGGAAAAATTATGGAATGAAGTTAATGGCGAGTGAAAACGTATCTTTCGATCCCATTTGAAATGTGCCATGAATTACACATATGATGGTTGTCAATCTTAAAAAATCTTTTCCATGTAAAAAAAGTCGTAAAACTGTTGAAATATAAGACTATGAAAAATACGCAACTAGAAAGACTACAAATTCCAGAGTCGCGTAAGTCATGTCCTGATGTCATAATTGTTTTCCTCCACTAAATATAAGAGATAGCTAAGATAAGATAACTTTAACAAGATGCCTTTGTGCTTAGTAGGCTACCAGGTTGTTATCATACCAGCAATGGGTCTTGCTCGTTCTTTCGCTTCCCGTCTGATGAAAGGACCATGAGTGCTGGAACAACTTAGCTAACTAGCTAGTAGCAAGCACGTTAGTTAGCATTACAGCCTGAGCCTTGTCATTTTTATTAGCCTTAACATGAAGAAACATTAAGTAACCCAAAATGTTAAACAGTCAGAGTAGTAGTCATATTTAGTGAACCCTTTGAAGAGTACTGTCACACCGGTGTGATCATTCTATAATACACCGTTTAAGCCCGGATCATCCCGGGGGAGAAATGCTAACGTACATTAGCATCGGCGATCTTTTCTACTTCATTCTATCTGCACAAATGGTTAATATTGAACATTAAAAAGTTCAGGCAGTTCAGGCAGAATTGAAGGAAGGCAGGCAGCTTTGCATGACATTCTTCTGGACGTGTTTCATTGTTGTGATAGTGAGGGTAAACAATATCCTTTTTGGCAAGACAGTAGTGATGGCCATCTGGTGACGTGTGTTGTTGTGCGAGACCAGAGATGTAGTTCATTGAGCGGTTTCACACAAAAAAAGTCTTACTTCACAGTTTTACGGCAAAATTATCGCTTCTGAAACAACTGACTCGGAGGTACATGTGCTACCAAGCAAGCCTCCTCGACATTGAGAAACACCCAAGCACCCAAGGTCCCATGGAGGTCCACCGGAAAGGGAGGGACTTCGCCTCTCTTTACGCCGTGAAGATATTTGCGGCCTGCCAGTAAACCCAAAGCAGAAGAAGAAGAAGAAGAAGTGACGTCAGCGGCTCCCTCTGGGACTTATTCCGGTGTGAACGCGATATACTAGATAGTTCCAGGAAATAAAAGTTCCGGGAACTATTCCTGGGAAAAGTACTTGGTTTGAAAGCGCGTCAACTAACAGCAGAAACCAGATAGCAGGAAAGATACTTATTACTTTCCTTGGGCAGAGTCATTTCTGGCTGCCTGGACAGGAAATACAGTTTGACAGTTTTTTAGTGTACGGACAAAGTCTTTACCAAACTGAGTGTCAAAGGCCTGTCCAGACAATATTTATTCTGTTGCCTCTTTCTCCCCCCATGCAGACCCTTTCTGTCATTTCACATCTAGCCTCTGAGCTCCATGTCTATCACCTGACCTTCCACTTACTCACCTGCTTCCCATTTCCTGCTCAGCATAGCAGTATTTTTACCAGGCCATCTCCTTTTATTCTCAGCCACATTGCTATAGGTTGCATTCATTCTTGCTTTACAGCCTTTGTTTCTGCCTGCTTGACCCTTTGTCTGAAATTGATTGATGATTCCTCTCCAGCATCCCATTCTTCTGGTTATGTTTTCCAGTTTTGACCGATTACCGTGTCATACTTTGATGGTCAAACTTGTTGCATTTCTGAGCCAGTACACTGTGCCTCTTTTGGAACAACACTCTACTCCCCACACAACATAGTAGGTTAGTAAATTAGATGTTTTTATATATAGACCACCCTCAGAAGCCAGCCTCTTCGACGTAGGACCAGAGATGCGGGCATGGCTACACGACACCGAGTTGGACCTCTGACGTTACACAAAAGAAGAAGATGTTTTTATTTTCCATGAGTCAAAATAGATCCTGGCATAGCCCCACCTGCAGGCTGATATTTGAAATTAAATAGGGGGGTTATAAAACGTTGCCACATATTTGAAGGTTCCAGGCATGTTGGTCTCATAGGTCCAACTGGTTTGAAAAAAATGGTAGCACCTGGAGAAGAACATCGTAGTAAATGCTGAAAGAGTTCCAGCACCAGCAGTACTTGGACCTCAATCTGCAGCTAAAGACACCTCTTAAGGCATTTCCCCCGTTGAGCTGTTAAATCAAAGTGTGTCTCTGGTGTACTTAAAGGCTGGATTATAGTTGACGCCCAAGGTAGGGAAGGAAGGAAAAAAGGAATTGAAGGAGTCGCCAAAGAGCCAGAGGGGGGTTCAAAGCCTGCAGATGAATCTTTGTCATTGGAGCTGTGATGGGTGCTGGGAGGGAAATCGCCCCGGGCCAGTCTGCAGGATCCCGTTACTTGTTCATTTTAAATTTCTCCGGAAGAGCATTTTTTCATTGTAGACTGTGTTATTCTTGTGTCCTATATAAATCCACTCAGTGAAAAAGCCACATAGGGCAGAGAGTCACAAAGCAGTTCCCTTTCCCTTTTAGATTTATCTAATTAATTCCTGTTTAGTTAAGTGCTTCCTCATCTTTTTAATGACTCCAGAATGTCTAGGCTGAGGCAATATATAAATCATTTGAAATGCCAGCTACCGTAGAATTTCCTGTGTTCCTCATTGAGGGTTTAGGGCATGAATACAGCAGGATTACACGTGAAACCCTTCCTGTTGAGGAATGACAAGATGACGCATGCTGTTTAGTGGAGCCAGAACATTTAATACACCATCGCAGGAGACATGCACTTGCAGCACTTCACTCAGTCCCCAACTGTAGCTCTCATTTTGAAAACACATACAAACCATGAAATAATTTAGAGCAAAACACTTATTAAAAAAAAAAGGAGGGTTACAATTTTTTATACATGTTCATATTACTGCTTCATAAAATGTATCACAAAAATTAGCTTTTTGACACAGAGCAAACCATAGGAACCGACTCAGATAAAACACTGACACTGTGCGTCTTGATAGTTAGCAGAAAAACTGTGAAGTGGTGACACCCGAGAGGGAATGTCACAGAGAGGACAAGGGAAGAAGAGTCTTTCGAGGGAGGAGGAAGAGGAGGAGGAGGAGGTGAAGGGGGTCTATATTTGTCCCTCTCTGGTGAGAAACAATCCAAGTGTGCTGAAGAGCGAGGGATGGGTCGATCGCTAGGCGTAGAAGGTCTCTACTTTCACTGCCTGGCAGAACATCGTCATGGAGAAGACCAGGCCCAGGATCTGCACAAACACAAATCACCCATTAAAACCTGCCGTTAATGGCTTCAGATGTGTAGTCAGTGAAATGTTAGGCATAATACATGTTTTTACAATAAACTTCAAAAACATTTTACCCATATCTAAAATCTCATTACATTTATTTCTTGAATGATAAAAAGAAAAGCATCCACAACAGCATCCAATCTGTGCAATATTCATTTCGTTTATCGCACAGATTGGAGTTTGTGGACACACTTCTGTTTTTCTAATAAAACTAAAAGTGTTTTCCTCTATCTCAGTGAAATGCACAATCAATTTTTCAATTTGAATGCCACTCCGTTGTTACTACTTTTTCTTATTTTTTACCAGATGACTATCTAAATGCCAAGTAAGTCAACATTTGTGTTGAACAAAATATAGATTTTAAAGTTTTACAGTCTTTTTCACAGTTGACATCAGATGGCCCATTTCCTACGTTTTTTTAGTTCATCATTAACTAAATGTGCGCAAAAAAGAATAGGCACCACAAAAGATAAAAAAATACACATAAAAATCCAAACATAACATTAGTTATAAGAGCAATAATATATTGAAAATAAAATGTTCTGCACATAACTATGCAGTATGTACGGGAGTGTGAGAATGCATCCACATTAAGCTGGTGACATTTGAGCATCTTGTATCTCTCTGTGTCAGTCTTCCAATGAAACTAAAACTGAATTTTTCTCACCCCAAAAATAAGCATAACCAAAATGGCCTCCAGAGTGTACATCCTAACATTCAAGCTTATGTTTCCATGGGGTAAACTGAAGAGCTTTAGTAAAACTGTGAGAAAAAAAACTGCTTTGTGTGCCGGAAGGGTTTAGAGGACAACTTTAAGTCTGCCATCATTCATTTGAAATGTCAATAGAGCCAAATACACAGCTGTGGTATTAAAGTAACACGACCAAATCATTGTTAATCTCGGCCGCCTGTTGTGCAGTAGAACAAAATGTTAGAGAAAAATAAGAACAGATGTACTCTTTTTTTTTTGTTTATGTGTGTAACTGTTCATTGAGAAAAACAGTATGGAAACACATTTACTGTATTTCTAGACACAAATCATTTTCATGCATAAATATTGTTTTAAAATTCAGATGGCTTAATGTAGAAGTAGTCCGAGTATGTGTTTCCATTGATGGACGAAATAAGGTGCTCTCGCATTCATATTAACCATTTCCATGTGTTACAAATCATGGATGTAAAGGCTGTAAACTATCGATTTGTTGTTATCTAAAAAAAACCTATCCCTTTTTTCCATTTCTATATAAACATATTGTGACATTTATTTTAAATCTGTTTTGGAGGACTTTGAAAAAGCTGTGCTCGACCAAGCTCCTTAATGCAAAACACACAATTAATAATAATCAAAGCTAATGAATGATGCTAAAGTGTAACGTAACAATGGTAAAAACAGAAAGACATGACTGTCATTGAGTCATGTCTGTTATCAGCTCCTCTAAAGTTGGCTAACATTGAACATCATGAACTACTAGTCAGATCTGATGAGGTAGCAGGTCTGTAGCAGCTGAAGATGATTTCGTAGAGTTACATTAACACATGTTTGCTTTTCTTTCCTGTACTTAAAGCATACGTGAGTCAGCCGGCAAACATCTCAGATATTGGGGTGAAGTGGCAAAGATTGTTTCTTTTTCTCATTTTCCTTTTGCTGTACAGATTTTGAAGAAGGGCACAGAGGATCTAACCGTTGACTGAAAAGGAGCCTGCAGCCTCACAGGATCCTCTTGTGATTGATGCTTTGAAGAACAGAGTATTTCTCCTCTCAGCTTCTGTAAACGCATCACGTACCACTTGGCTGAAAGGAGAAATACATTGTTCTTACGGAAAGTCAAATCCTCCTATGTGGTCCACAGCGGAAACACAAGAGGCTTACAAGTCCAGATAAATCCTCTGTTCAGCTTTTAATGCAGAGGACGATGCGACTATTAGGTTTATTCATCACAAAGAAAAAGCCTCTGTCTCAGGCTGCAGATAGCAAGCACCCAGTTAATGACTGCTGAAAAAATAACTTGGGCAACTTAAAAGCTGTAATTACCTGAGTAAGTGCTGTGCATAGAGCAAAGATCCAAAGAGCCACCAGGTTCTCATTAAGCCAGTCCTTTACCCTCTCGTAGCACGGCTGTGGAGACAAACACAAACAGCATTAGCACCAAAAAAAACAACCACAAAATGTAAGCATTTAGATATTCAGAGCTATATGATACATTACAGCAGTTATTCTCATACTTTAGATGTGTTATTAAATGTTCTTTGGCTAAAATGTTCCCAGTAGCAAAACCTTTATCTTCCTTCTCCTCCTCTGACCTAATATTCTTTGGGTAAACTTTCTAATTCTCAAGCAACTCTCCACTGTCCTTGTTTCCCCTGAGTTGTGCACTGCACACAGGAGTAATGTGGATAGAGGAGCAGCCATCCAACATAGATGTCATTTAGACATGGGAATAGGCTGAATCTTTCATGTCTGGCATTGCTTGAATGTATCTTGAAGGCAGCTTGACACAAAACCCTTTCATTGCTTCACCTTTTCTTTTGTCATAACCTAGAATATATTTCAAAATCACTTTTCAAGCTCTGGGAAAATGTCCTCGAGCAGTATAGGGCCCCAAAAAGAAGAAAGGAAAGATAACTATCATTAATAGAGAAAATAGCGAAAGGCCCTTCTGGGTCAGGGATGTGAGCAAGTAATGAGAAGGGAATGAATGCTGAAAGAAAAGAAAGCTTTCTAAGAACAGTTGAAGGTGACATTAAAGCAGATGGGAGGGACAATTTCCAGGTGGCACATGGCTCCTTCACCTCTTCAGAAGACATTTAAAAGTGTGTTTGATTATGTAACATTAAAGCAAAGACTGTCTGACATACTGTAAAAAAGGAAAAAGGTGCTATAATAACAGTCTACACCGCTGCTCTAAATGAATTATTCATTTCTACAGACATGCCTTCCCGATTGTGCTTGTTTAAAAATCTCCTTACATCAAGAAGCTGAGTCAGAGCAGGTGAAACCGAAAACTACTCTAAATTTCACTGCTGCCTGAGACATCAGGGAAGAACAAAATATATGTTTTCCATAACACAAGGGGAAATAATTCTCTGCTGGATCAATATGGAAAGTCTTGCAGTCGGCCAAAGATTTGTTGAGCTTCAGTGTTATTTATTAAACCGCAGCTAAACTGCAACCTGGACCACAGAACTGCACCTGAAAATAAATAAATTCATATTTTTATTGTACGCCGTCCACTGCAGACTCCTATGAAACCATAAAAACAAACAAATGAACCTGAACCTACTGGACCAATCCCAACACAGGGAGTGTTGAAAAGTGCAACTTTAAAACTCTGGATACAGCTCCAGTGGGGGGCTCTCGGTGGTCCGTGCTGACACAGCAGTCTCTGTCCCGGTCTTTATGTGATTTCTCATCAGCACTCCCTTGCCTGGACCTGCTGCACCTCCCTCTCTGCCCTCCTCCTCCTCTGTGATAAGAAGATGTTCTGCTCTGCGTAGGAGGCTCACTTTAAAGCTCGGAAACTCAGTAGGTGTATAATTGGGCTTAAATTATTTTGTGACACAGACCGTAACAAATTATCATTAATAATATAAACCATGCCTCTCAAAACATCCCTAATTGCTGTTTTATGGAACATAAGGTTTATTTAGGCTCAGAAAACGAACTGGTTAGAGTTAATGACAGTTCAAGGTCATGGTTAAAGAGTAACAAAAGGTAGGTTCACTTTCTCAAACAAATGTGAGATTTCTTCCAGTCACAACTCTTTTGGTTCAAGTTGCCCCTTTGTTTAAGTATGGCTTGGTATCTAAGTTAGTGAAATGACCCAGTACCTATTATCAATGACGTTTATCCAGTCAACATTAGAACGTTTTCAAACTAAAGTCTAGAAAAAACACCCCTATTTCTATTTAGAGTTTTGCACAAAGCCAATCACTGCAAGTGTTATTTGATTGCAGCTTGGTTGATTCACTTTTGCAGCAGCTGCAACCCCTGGTCTGTAGAAAAAAAAGTATCAGTTCAAGTACTCTCTCTGTATCAGTATCACTTTGATAGGACTAGTACCGTGCTGTCATTACAATTTTATTAACAGAAAGAAGCACGATGATGTTTCAGTATAGAGCTGCAGTGGAGGCCGACAATTATATATAACTCAGACTCACAAAGCCTCACACAAGCTTCAGTTTGAGTTTAGTTCAAATATGTAACTTTGCACAGAATAAGGTCTCACTCTTTCTTGCAGGAATACAGCATGAGGTGCAATGATATCAAGCTAAAAGACTCAAAAGAAAAGCTGATCATATCATTCATCAAAATTCCACATTTTTGAGTGAGTAAAATACATGTATCTGTCACATGCCGAAGTATTTTGAATAGTTTATATTGGACGGTTTTATACATTCAAGGCTGATTTTATTTTGTGCGATGCATTCTGGGTTTTTTAAACAGGTTTTACTTCCTGTTGCATGCTTTTATTTGGAAATGTTTAGACTTTGATTTAAACCCCTGTACTTCCGCAGTGCTGATTGACACTGACATGCCACAATTAAAAGCACCTGGAGTCAATTTGCAAGTAACAGCCCTGCCAATAAATGCAAGAAGAAGAGCAGCAGGAAGACAGACTGGGAGAGACAGAGGACAGAGGACCGAGTGGGAGAGAACCAACCAAGAAGTGCAAGCAGCAATAAGAGAGGCCACGGCAGTCCAGTACGGAGACATTTTGTGAGAAGCTGAACACTCTCAAGCAAAATAACTAATGTTGATTGTATAAGTTTAGCGACTGCTGCTTGTCTGCATTTGAACAACCATTGCTGTTATTTTTATGGCAATTGAACTCTCAATGTTCAAAACCCCCACGTTATCTACCTACAGAGGACACTTTGCTGCTTTTAAACTATAAATGTATCTGTGTGTGCATCAAACCACCATGTGTGTATATTTGTATTTGCTATCAATGAGAACATAAGGAGATACTTTCTTGTTTTCATAAATACCTGGCTGACACCAATAGACCTTACACCAAGGATCCAGCTTTATTCCACTCCAGTGTGTAACTGCCATTACACATGGTTGTGTAAGTGGCCTTGCTCCATTCATGTTTAACACACTGGGCCTTAAGATTTACAATAAGTACTTGAAAATGGAAAAGGAAAGATATGGATATAAAAAGAAATCGGTATTACTTGGAGAGAGAACTGTAATGGTTCAATGTAAACTGAATGAGTTATTTATCGGCGGGGCCAGCATTAATAAAACCACCAGATGAATTTGTCTTTCAGAAGGGCTGGTTGGATTCAGAGGTCTGTACGTGAAGGCCAACATGCTGTCACCTGAAGGATGTAAATAGCATCATTTAGAAAGATTTGTAACTGGGTTATGCAGAATGGGGTATCAGGGAAGGTATAAGAAAAGCATTTTCAAAGGTTATAGCTTTCCTTTCTAAAATCGAAAATAGCTGAAGTTTGGCCTTTCCTCTGCTGAGTGGACAAATTAAATAAAGCTGCAAACAATTGGAGTAAAGGGTTTGCATTTAAGGATGAAAGGCTGTCTACTCCCACCTGTGACCATGGTGGCTTTTCGTGTCATCTGCCATTTGCAAGGGTGACAAGGTTTACTAAAGATTTATTTCAATTACTAAACTAAAGAATGAGATGGTTTGAAAGAGGTTCTCTGGCTGACTGCAAAACATATACAAGGCAGTCTTTCAGAGTTTGATAACCATTATATTCCACTGCGTGATGATACAAGTTCCACACATTAAGTAGTGTCTGGAACTTTCATCAGCAGAATTTGCTTTGTTGTCATACCAACTTACAGTAGGTACTCTCTCCTCTCAATAACAATTTTTTTTAAAGCACTTAATAGTTTCCCATGAAAACTAGAGGCCTCCCTTTGCAGATGAAGGTCGTGTGATATGGTGAAAAGTCTCCGAACAGCTACTTAAGAGGCCTTGTACCTCAAATTGCGTGATTTGGGATATTGTATACTCTTTGAATGAAATTTGTTTTTACATGAAATGTATTTCATTTTTTAAAGAGATGTGTGACGACATCTGGCCCACTTGATATGATTTTTGGAATAACCCGTTTTCCATTTTGTTGCATCGACTCAATAACATCTGAAGCTACGCTGAAATCATTGCCATTTTCATCATCTTCACTCATTATGATTAACAGGGCCTGTTGTATGGATGACAGAGGCTGACTACTACGGCTGTTAATTGGCCTCCGTTTGTTAATGATGACAATGCGTTGACTTCAAACTTATTTTTAACTTCCCTGACATAACTGCTTATTGTGACACATTATCTTTCATACTGATCCTCCAAATAATAGTGCAATAATCAGCTTTTGCAGTTAGCAGAGCTGAACAGCAGCTGTTGTGTAGGTTTGCTTCTTTTCTGTTCTTTTCATTTAGTCTTTCTTAAGTGAACTGAATAAGTTATGAGCATTTAGATGTAAACAAACAAAGATAGTGTTTCTTCCTTTTATAGCTACGAGACTTCTCAGGTAACGCGGGTTTAAAGATAAACTACCTTTTGTTTTATTTAGTTTAGGAAATGTTTTTTTCCGAAAAAATGTAATGCAGTATGTGCTATTGAAGCATTAACCTGGTTCTTCTGTGTTGTTTACAAACCTACACATGTATGTCCATGTAGAAATAAATTACTTTATCAGAGATACTCTAACCAATAACTTTAGAGTTATTACAGAGGCGTGTGGTGCAGTGGGTTGTGCGTTGGTGTTGGGATCAGGGGGTCACAAGTTCAAACCTCACTGCAGTCAGCATGTCGTTGTGTCCCTGGGCAAAACACTTCACCCCAAATTGCTCCTGTGGGGATTGCCCACAGTATTGAGTATGTAAGTCGCTTTGGATAAAAGCGTCTAACAAGTGACATGTAATGTAGAGACTAATCTTGTTCAACCAAAATACTCTACAGTTCTCCTCACCTCTTGTGTTCCTTTACATAAAGTGACGGTACTGTCTTTAAGCAAATTGCTTTCATATTTTACAGCCTGCAACTTTACAGTTTGGGCTCATTAAGCACTTCTGTTAACCTTGTTTCCATCTGCATCAGGCAGCTGTGTTCAGTCAAAAAGCTGGAGCATTCAGTCGCTAAAGAGCCAGATAATTTATCTCAGAAGTTGGCCGTGATCAGCCAAAAGATAAAAGCAGTCTTAATATTAGCTAGCATTTGCCAGGTGGCCTGAAACACTTCAAACAAATGTAAATGTTTCTCCGAATTTGCTGGATATGTAAATAAGCAAATGTTCACTAAAACGTTGATATTAACTTTCCAAAATGATCAAATGTCAATGTTGTGTTTACAGCTTGTTGGGCTGCCTTCATTTAATTTAATTTCAAACCTTTATTTATCCAGGTGTATCCCATTGAGATCATTGATCACTTTTTCAAGGGAGACCTGCTGAAGTAGGTTCCACATGAAACAAAAACATAAACAGAACAACAAAAAGGACATCATACAGCATCATTACAGGGTTTACAATTTACACAACTATCCACATGAGCAGGTACCAACAGCTTCCGATTGAGAAGCATCCAACCGAGCTTTAAAAACATTTAGTGGCACCAGATTGCTCAGTTTCCATTTCAATTGCAGACTATTCCAAGACAGTGGAGCAGCGCATCTAAAAGCTATCTTCCCTAAGACAGTCCTAGCAATTGGCACATTTAATAAAACTACAGCATACGATCTCAGGCAGTAGCCACTTACAATTCGTCGTGAGATCAGGGGGCAAATGTAGGATGGAAGTTTCCCTAACATGGCTTTATATATAAAAATGTACCAGTGACTAAGCCTCCGTACAGTTAGCGAAGGCAAACCAGCCCTTGCATACAGGGTACAGTGATGGGTTAATACTTTACAGTTTGTCACAAATCTCAGTGCGCTGTGATACGCAGCATCTAACTTGAACAGGCAATTGGCAGGTGCATTCATATAAATCAAATCCCCATAGTCCAGCACAGGTAAAAAGGTCACAGTGACTAGCCTTTTCCTGGCCTCAAGCGAGAAACAGGACTTGTTCCTGTAGAAGAAACCTAGCCTAACCCTCAGTTTTTTTAGCAGGTTATTGACATGACGTTTAAAAGTGAGACAATCATCAAGCCAGATACCTAGGTATTTGTAACAGGTAACCACTTCAATTTTTATTCCTTGCGTAGTTACAATATCTAAAACAGGCTCTGGTGTCTTTTTAGCTTTTGAAAAGAGCATTACCTTGGTTTTATCAACATTTAAAAGAAGCTTTAGTTCAGAGAGCTGAGTCTGAATAATGTTAAAAACAGCTTGCAATTCAACAACAGCCTCCTTGATGGAGGGACCTGCACAGTACATCACGGAACCGTCCGCATAAAAATGTAAGGTTTCTCCATCATTCTCCGACATTTTCACCTAAACTATTGATGTAGATAGAGAATAAAAGTGGACCTAAAACAGAACCTTGAGGAACACCATTAGTAATGTTTAACCACTCAGAAGACAGCCCATCAAAATGAACACATTGGGACCTTTCAGAGAGGTAGTTCACAAACCACCCCACTGCATGGCTGGACATGCCTATACTGGCTAGCCTCTGCTTTAAGATGCGATGGTCAACGGTGTCAAACGCTTTGGACAGGTCAATAAATAGAGCTGCACAACTCTGCTTATTATCTAAAATACTCGCCACATTATTCACCACTTTCATTGTGGCAGTGATGGTGCTATGTTGCTTTCTGAAGCCTGACTGATGTTTAGACAGGATGCCATTTGTACATAAAAACTCCTTTACCTGTTCACTCAATAGGCTTTCAAGAACCTTAGCGAGAACTGATCATTTAGAGATAGGTCTATAATTATTTAATAAAGTGGCCTCCCCACCTTTTAGTAGAGGCAGGACATAAGCTGACTTCCACAATTTTGGAATTGTGTTTGAGCTGAGGGAGAGGTTAAAAAGAGTAGTGAGAGGTGGAGCAATACAATCTGCAGCTATCTTTAAAGAGAAAGGTTCTACGTTGTCCGGGCCAGCCGGTTTCTTAGGATCTAACTTGGTTAAAGCTTCACGAACAACATCAACAGTAAAAGGAGTAAAACTAAAAGGTTTTTCCAAAACACGTTTTTTAGAGTCACAGACTATGGTGTTCACAGAAGCAGAGTTAGTGACAGAATCAAACATTTGAATGCATGTTCAAACGTTTTTGTATTGACTGATAATGGAGCCATCAAGTAAGCCTATACATATGCTTTCTACTTCTCTAATTAAAAGGCGGATACAATATCCCAATTAAGAAAAGCTTAACTACATTTGCATCTAAGATTAGATTTTCTGAGCCGTATGGTCAGGTGGGACCAATAAATCAAGAGGACCTAAAATCAAACCCTGAGGGATCTCACAGGAAACAGTGGACTAAAGATGGGAATTAAAACAGACAGAGAGCCTTTGGATACATCTGTTAAAAACCAGTCAACGTCAGAAACGCCTGCTAAGAATAGGTTGGTCTGCTGTTTCAAACGATGTGTATACATCTAGAAGGAGTTCACAATTTGATGCATCAGCTGCCAAAAGGACCATTAGTCAAGAGGCCTGTTTCTGTCCGATAGAGCCAGACTTACAGTATGAAACCAGACTGGCATTTGGTGCAGTGAGAAAAGGAGATTTCTTTCTTTGACTTGCATTTGGAAGGATTTTTTCTAGCTCTAGCTTAATTTAATGACTGAACGCCCGTTGGGTCTAATTGTGTTAATGACAACTTTATGGGAAGAGTGTCGAGAGAGCAGGTGGTTGCTTTCACGTGAGACACAATATGCTTCAGTTCAGGAAATCAACTGCAATAAAAGATTTCAGCGCAGCAGAGTATCTCACGTCAAAATAAGGCGGAGTAATTAATGGTCTGAATGAATGTGTTATTAATACCAGCTGTCCCCAATACATATTATCTCGACACACTCAATTAACTCTCCCGTAACAAATCCTAGTCTTTCTAAATCATGTTACATATTCAGATTAATGTATTTGCATACTTTCTGTAGCAATATTACACAGCATAGTACATAATTTGTTACATATTCATTAAGACAAACTTGCAAAAATTATGTAGCTTGTATTTCTTCCCTGTTGACTGACGCAATTCTCTGCTGCACATCCTGTTTTCACCAGCATTAATAGTCATGCTCACCGCTCTTGGCAATGTTTTTCACATGAGTTTGAACTACATTGCCGACCCTTTTTTCCTCATCTGGTTTGCCATCAGTTATCGTTTTTAAAATGGTCAGGAGACATAGTCTGTGTGGCATTTTAATGGTTTAAAAGATGTGAAAAGAGACCTCGTTTCCACCATCAAGTGTTACGGAATATGCACCTGCAGCATTCCCAATAGATGTTTATGAATGTAAAATCTAACTCTACCACTTTATTTAACTCTATTGAGGTAATGCAAGCTATGGTATTGTATATATTACCTTATAATTTATATAAGCCAAAGAATATTACCCAAATTCACACTATATTAAACTTGCTGAAATACTTTCTTTAGTTGTACAAGTACACAACCTGACTATCAACATATCGCAAACATGTCAGAGATCACAGCGGTGGACTTTTGATTGACTATAACACAACATACACTGAGTTATGTGGAAGAGAGACCTTAAAGATATGCATCTCAGGTATAAGACCTTTAAAGCTCAGTTTGTCTTTGTATTTGTGAAGTATTTAACGACATCTAACATGTTTGCCATTTAGTAGTGTGGTTTATGTCACATTCTAGAAATGTAAAACAGCTCTCTTCACAGTGAGCCGAAAAACTGATTATATGTCAGATGAACTCTAGTCGCACCAGCAGTCAACTCCTTCTGGACAAAAGTGATTAATTCAACTATGAATCCCTCACTATTGGCTTTGCTTAATTGGACAATTTTGGGGCCAAGTTGTTTTTCAATAGAATACTGTTTACTTCAATTTTTTAAATCTCCTTGGTACCAAAAGAAAAGCAGACATTTTAAGTCATATTAATTATGTTCCCTGAATGATTTGGGATTAAATGAGGAATTAGCCTGCCTTTGGATATTACAAATTTGCATTTAAATTAAATTAGACTAAGACTGGGACGACCGAACTCACTTTGTTTTTGTCTTTGTTTTTCTTTCCTTCGTTTTTTATTCTGTACCTGAAATAAATGAAGACTTGGTTCCCTGACACAGGTAGAAACTAACCAGCAAGGATCAACTAAACTCTAATCAAACTTTGCCTAATAACGGTTGTTAGTGTGATCTGATACTGCTGGGAAATGTGTTTAGCAAACAAAGATATATACAATCCTGTATAAAATAATTAAAGTTAGTTATGGGTAGCGTCTTTTGGAAGCACATGTTGGTTTTGATGGCAGAGCTTACCGCTGTCCACCATGTTCCTGGGTTGTCCAGGCCACAGTTGTCGCTGTACTCCAGGCAGCAGGAGTCCGGCACGCGGCTGGCGTTGTAAACCTCAAACCAGTCTGTGTGGTTGGTGACTCCACAGCAGCGAAACTGCATCAGAGAAACACAATGAGTCAGGAGAGTCTGGCCTTTTATCACTGTGACACTAAAATACTAATGCATGATATCTCCACTAATGGAAACTAAATTATTGACCTGAATAGAATACGATTTAGTGGGCAACACAATCATATGTGCTGGGCGTAGAAAACATTTAATCTTTCTGATATTGAGCAGCAACCCCTTTTGGTACAATCCACATCTCATTTGTCTCAGAGCCCTAAAATCATTTTCTAACTCGCCTGTTTCTTGTTATCTACATCTTCCCCCTTTGTGATTGCTATGGATCTTTGATAAGGGATCATGGCTTCCACCACAATTCAATTCATCAGTGTACTCGGTGAAAAGATAAAGTGCCCCTGATGTTTTGTGCATTGACTGGACATTATTTCCACACAGGAATAACGTTACTCGAGCTGCTCCACACGCTGCTCTGTGCACAGAATCAGAGATTGTGTGTTAATTTAAAACTCGCTCATTTAAGAACGGATCAATTCTGCAATTTATCATGAAGTACAGCTCAATTTGGATAGCCAGAAAGCATCTGAAGCATAGTTTTAAGTTTGAGTATAAAACAAAGGCTTGAAACAACAGAGCTGGAATATTCAAGCGTGTTTCACCTTGAAAAGTTTACAACAATTGAGGCAATGTTACCCTTTATGATTTATTATGCCGACATTATGCGCTTTGTACATGTTTTTACTACTTCTCCTCATGTGTGAAGATTCTCTTCCATTCCATAAGCAGCCATTAATAATATCCAGGGTGAACTTTGCTCCAGGGACATCTGCTGCATAATCTATTCAGTGACTCAGCATGAACAAGGGAAGCCAGGGAAGGAGAAGGGTGACAGAAGGAGAGCGGCCTTTAATGGACTTCCTCTCAGCCAGACTGTATGGAGCCCCATACATTCATACAGGAAGAAAGTGCACATTCATTGTGGCTCATTCCAGCTACATTTCCATGTGTTACTATCCTGTGCGCAGAAAAAAAAACCTTCTTACTAAAAAAAAGAAACGCATATTAACACCCACACATGCATACATTAGCATATATTATTTGCATAGCAATAGATTTCTCTCTAGTCATAATGCCTCTGCAGTCCCTATACGCGCACCCACATGCACAATATGTCCTGCAGACACTAAACACGCATGCACACAAACTAGAGCCAAACACTCGGTGATGACTGAACATGTGCTAATGGAACCAAACTAAAGCACACAGTCTGATGTGAAAAAGGTCTAAAGAGCCCTGAAATCTACAAGTACAATCTATCACTTGATGTCTCCCAGAGGCATTCACCAGCAGCGGCATCCGTCCTCCGCAATCCTTAATTCCAAATCTCTATTCCACACATTACATTGTGAAGAAAATATAAATAAATAATACAAAGGGAAAAGCACATCAAAGTGAGAGCTGGAAACAAAGATTACCTCAGAGAGTCTCCAGTGTTTGCATGAATCTCTCTGGCAGCATTTCACCACAGCATTTAAACCCGCAAAGCTAAAAGTGCTTGTTACTGTCGGTTGAGACATTTCATACACTTTTAATGATGCCATTTTGTTTTAGATAGCCGGTATTTTATACCAGCCTTGTTAATGTCCACACCCCGTTGGCTACAGGAAGGATTGCAGTGTTTTATTCAAATTAGATTTGATTGAAATCAAATGGCCCTTCAACATTTGACAACTCCGTTTTAATAAAATGTGATCACAGTGGAACAAATGGTGAAGCCTTGCCAATAAGTAAGCACTGCAACAATGAATAATTTAGTCAAAATGTCATGTATCTGAGCTTTTGACAAGGTAATTTGCAAGACTTGTTAAATGGCATTGAAGTTCATTTTGAATAGACTTTATTGTTCTCAATAGATGTTTTTTTAAGAGCATCATCTCAGCAGACTGTGACTGAGAGGAAAAAAATGTATTAAAACTTCTGGGCTTTGTGTCATAAATAACTCAGAAGTTGTGCTTTATATCAGCCCTGCCCGTCCCCTCCAGTGGCCCCACAACTTACATCAGTTTGTACTATCATCCAGGCGTTGGTCAGACCCACGTTTCCCTCCGTGCCGAAGAGCTGCAGGCCCTTCTTCAGATCCCTTTGGGCGTAGTGATCAATCTGATAACACAGGGAAGGATAAATGGCTGTGTCAATCACTGCAATTTAACACATTTCATTTCTACCTGCGTGAGTTCGAGTTTTCAGGGAACAAATGAACTCAAAAGCTAACAAATAACCCAAAATATTCCCAGTTCTCCTCTAAAACAGCAGTGCAATCTGTTACAAAGTAATGGGTTTTTTAATATAATTCTTATCTAATTATTATTAAAAAAGCAGTATTCATTGTTAATCATTTATTTATGGTAGACCAGGGCTTCACATTATAAACATGAATATAATAGAAATAAATAACATTGATGTTTCTCCTATCAGGGCAGGCCATTTGTCTTGGTCTCACAAACAATAACACAATACAAGGAAAAAACTAAACTCAATATAAAACACACATTACAAATACAGCATACCATGGGTTAATAAAACATATTGAAATATCTCGGCATGGGAATTCTTTGGTGCTGTTGGTTTAGTGTATTGATTGCACACACAAAGGCTCCCTTTATCTGTATTTGTGTTTGCACACTGTCTTGTCTTGCATTGGGCATTTAGTGACATTAAAAACAGACACTTTGATTCCTGACTGCCTGGAGTTTCTCCTGCCAAGCACCAGAGGCGGAGGAAGTACTTTTACTTATAACAAAAATATCATAGTGTATTACAATTCTGACACAAAAACCCTTGAAGCTAATCCTACTAAATTATATAAATAAACATCCAAAGATAAATATCATTGGACTTAGTCACGCATTAATGTGTTCATCTCTTGATTGTTGCAGCTGGTAAAAGTGGGGTTCATTTAAATAAAAATTACAAACTGCGAGGTAGCTATTAGATTATTTAAATGTTTTATGGATTTTAAAAAGTAAAATATTAGTAGAAGTATAAAGTGACATAAAGTACCTCAAAACAGTACTTAAGCAAAAGTAATTGGTTGCATTCCACCAACACTAAGCACAACTAAATGGATCGATGCTCATACTCTGCTAATATTTCCTACAGTGTTTTCACAAGGTATTAAGGCTAACAAAGTTTGGCCAGCAGTGGAAACAAATCCACTTGAAATCCACTGCTGAAATCAGCTTTGTCTGGGCCAACACACAGTGTCTGTTCAATAAACAAGCTACACGCAGATCCATGCAGGTTTCATTTAGAAGCTTTGGATCAGCAGTCAAGACCTAAACAAACAAGATAAAAACATTTAACGAAATCAGCTTTTCTATCACAGAAAATAAACTGTAGGTGAGAACACAGTCACAGAGATAAACATGCTCAACGTGAGGCAATGCATGGGTACTGAACCTAAAATACATAGTTTAAAAATCAACAATACAATCAGAGAAACACACACACACACACACACACACACACACACACACACACACACACACACACACACACACACACACACACACACACACACACACACAGAAGCTGCTCAACTTTGTTTACAGATTTAGATGGTCGATCCTATTAGATGCATTGATCTCCACTGACCTTGCCCTTTACTGCACCGCAGTCTACACCAAACTCCTTGTTGACTTTCAAACACCCAACAAACAACATGACCTTCATTTTGGCAAACAGCATGTCAATGTTGAATATGGGTTGCTGAATTCATTTTGTGGTGAACCTTGGCAGTATAATAAGTAATTTAAAGGGATATAGAGGATACGTTCTTTGACCAGAGGTCTTTTTAGCGTGTGCTGGATGAAGTACTAATATCTTTTAATTAAGGTTTTACCCATTTGACTATGTTTTGCATTGTTAATCTGAATATTCAAAGATACCAAAGCTGTCAAATAAATATAAATGCAATATCTAACTGAATCCAGAAGTCCAAAGTAGCATAAAATGGAAATACTCAGGTGAAAAACAAATGTGTACTTGATTTTACCTGAGTAAATGTATTTAGTAACTGTCAACCACTGTACAGTATGTGGAAAAGCTTTCCAACATTTAACGCTCACTGTAATACGTAAAGGAGGCGGTCCTTAATAGAAAAAGATTACCATGATCATGGATCCCAACACGGGGGCAGTAGCCATCATGAATACAAAGTTTTGATCTCTCGACAAATATGAAAATGAACTTTATTATCCTTAAATGATCCAAAAAATATCATTGATTTCACCAATCAATTAAATGTTATAAATAAAGCCCAATACTCCAAAAATACATATTTGTCTCAGGGTGCTTTACATCTGAAACGAATTCAACACCCTCTGTCCTTACATCATTTAACAAGGCACATCATGAAGCTTATTCTCCCAGCATTGTGTTATATAGAAAGGGACTCATAACAATCAGACAAAAGACACAGTTAATCGGAAAAGACATATTGAGGAAATCAAGAGAAACACTGAATTAACATAAACGGACACACAAAGATGTGAAACTCTTTATGCATCATGTTTCATCTTGTCTGCGTGTTTCTTTTTGGTTGGTTTTTTCCAATTGTGATTTAACAACAGTCCATGTTAATCACAGAACAGTTTGCTCAATAAATCTGCCTCTCACAACATTGCATGGTGTGTTGACTGTATACAAACAAAATGAATTCAGGCCCACTTTTCAATTTCATGCTGTGCCATTTAGAAAACAATAAAACTATCATGAACTTTTGCGCTCTTGTTGCCCGGGGAAACAGCAAACTGTGAACTATCAAAGCAACACATTTCCAGCCAACACAAATTAAGTGGTTCTTTTTTCTCATGGTTAAAACCCTGTCTTTGATCAGATAATGTTGTAATTTGCGTTAACAGCTGATGGGGTTTTACTTCAAACACTAACAGTGGTTGAAATTTGGCATTTAATTCTCCATTCATTGTTTTTGATTAACCTTACATTCAGTAATTCCCTATCAGCCAAGTGCCCTTTAGTGTCTCTTTTATGCAAGTGAAACCCTCATAAAGGAGCAAAAGTAAAGCTGGATTGGAAGGTATGGTATCAAAAGACCTGAACAAAAAAAGAATACGGTTATTCATTGTATCTTATAAGATACTTGAGATTTCAATGCCATGAAAACACATTAAAGTTATAAACATTTCTTTTTTTGCAATTTCCTCCTCATACAGCAGCCACAAATCCTCAGTAGCATTCAATTGGACTTGTGTTTTTAGCTATCTGAAGAATAAGACTCCATTATTACCTCGGGTTTAGTCTGTAACTTGCAAAATATCAGGGCTTTCTTAGCAACTCAGGATTGAGCTGTAAATAGCTTTGAGAGAGGAATACAAACTAGCTGATTAACGGAAACAAGTAGTTAAGAGGCTAAAAAGCTACAGAGTTCTGCAGAGTTGACTGTTAATTCCCTGTGAGTTTGTCAATTTGAATCATTCATTTTCACATTCCAGAAAGCAATACACACATTTTTATTTTAATAATTGATCTTTAAATATTGTGCCATTGTGCCATTTTTAGTGCATGTTTCTTGCATGTACTTCACATCCACAGTGAAAAGAAGAAATGCTTTTGGTTTAAAAATATTTATCATAATTTGGATGCCTCAAAGACACAGAGATGAAAGAGAAGTCTAAATGAAAGAAAACATGACACAGATTGTAAGTCTTCTTGCAACAATAAATAATTCTTGATTTGATTTCCACACAGACTGGTGCTATAAGCTACTGCGTGACATCACAGCTCTGGCAGAAGGCAACATATGAGCTATGTGATGCAAGAATCTGGCACAGGGAGCACTTATTTCCTATTTGACTGGGCCGGATAAAGTCTTCTGAAGTTGTGCTAATGAAAAAGAATAGAAAAGAAAAATACTTTTATTTAATCTAAGTAGGTCATTAGTAAAGGCTGAGTCCTGTGAAAGAGCAGAATGTGCCTAGGACACGGCTGTTCTTTTAGCTCAGTATTGATGTTGTCCTTGGGACTTCAGTCGCCCTTTAACTACATCAGGCAAATCAAAGATGGGCGATCAATTATTTATATGGCGGGTATACAAGGGGAGATAAGAGATGTGTATGGAGAGGAGAGGATAGGAGAGGAAGGGAAAGGTGAGGAAAGGAGAGGAGAGGAAGGAAGGAGATGTTTATTTAAAAGTAGATGGGAAACACAGCAGAGAGGGTGTTGTTAGAACACATTTAAACATGGGAAAAGAGAGAGAGAGAGAGAGAGGATGAACCAGAAGATGAAGCAGTGCAGGGATATGTAAATGCAAATCCACTGTGGGGCAGATGAAATGGTTTTATGACTCCTGGACTCTGTGACACAGTAAGAAGCTGAGAAAGAGAGCTTTTCCATCTGTGACAGAACAGGATAAAAGACATTACAGTATGTTTGAAAGAAACACAAGAAAGAGATTTCAGAGGAGAGGAAATAATGAGAGAAAAATGGCTCAATTTACTTGCTCCCTCCAAACAGTGGATGCCCATTACCTGTGCCATAAATGTCAGTGGAAGGAAAAATCAGTGATACAGTAAAGTAGAAAAAGACATTAAAAAAGAGGAAAGATCCGTGCTCATATTCCCTGCAGACATACAATTTCACTTTCCGACGCCAAACTGCATAAAACATGTGCTAAAATGATGTTGTAGATGCTAAAAGCGTGGGTTTTTTACATTATTGATTCATAACTTAAAATACTGCCTTCAACTTTGGAATACATCACTGCACTGTCAGCTTATATCACAGGATCACCCAATATCAAGTTTGTATTAAATGTTTATTCAAAAAGTTATGTTTCAGGCATTTTAAATGTAATTTGGTCACCCAGTCGCCTCTGTATATTCTGAATGTCCCTCTGGGCTTCTGCCTTATACATATATTGGGTGCCTTTGCTTATTGGCAAGGGTTGGTTTCCTGCAAATGCTTTCATTTTATCCTTCCTCTGAGGGAGCGCAGATTACATTCCCTGGACTCCCAATTTGGCCCAAAGTCAAGGTTTTTCAAGGGCGTTTTAACGGCAGACTGAACTTGAGTGTGACTTGCATGCATTTTATTTCCCCCGGCTTGAGCTTAAATCTTTGGAAGGGTTGCACTGCATTTCG